AACTTGTTTGTCCTCCCTCCCCCTGAATTGTGAGCCGTCCTGAGTCCCCTCAGGGAAAAGGGCGGCATACAAATAAAGTATCTATATCTATATCTTGTGCAAAAAGGGCTGGCGGCTGACCCTACAGCACGCTCGGCGTTTGTGGTGTAGGTCTCTATTTGGAGAGCCTAAGAAATAGGGAACACGTGTAACTCAACCCCTTTTCCCCTGGAGGGTTTGTTCCTTGTGAAACCAGAGTTGGGATGGCTCGTTTCTCCTCCTTGGCCCCCAACTCCTGAAGGGGCCACCTTTTAAACTGACATTTGCCATGATCTGTTTCCACCCGAGAGGCTCAGGAATACAGCCGAAGCCGCCTTTTCAAACCCTTTTCTTTTCTGCCCCGTGGCTGCTGCCACATATACACAGTTCCTCTTTCATCACACGCAAGAGGTGTCCTTACCTGATGCTGCCAGGTTCCTGTTTGCTCAAGATTGGGCCCTCTTCCATGAGCCTTGGAGGCTGCTGCCTATTTCGCCTATCTTACGGACTTACAATAGCTTAAAAAAATCATTAAAAAAACAAAAACGTTCGCTCTCAAAATCTGGCTGGGAAAATAAGGGAAGAGTCTCAGCATCAGGTTCTTTGGCAAAATGGTTCCTCGATAAGGACTACGATCCTGCGTAGTCCTTTCCAGCTTTAACCCGCTGCCTCTACCAAGGTGGTTGAAATATTATCCTTTCTGTGAGAAGAGAAGGGGGGATAAACAGTCTTTGGATTGTATTGGTACTACAGCTCCCAGAATTCTCACTGGCGTAGGAATTCTGGGAACTCTGGTCCCAACACATCTGGATCCCATGGAAACCAAGTCTAGAACTTGCTTGCTGGCCACCCTTGGTAAGCTAATGAGCAAAACTTGTATGCTGCTTTATAAAACGATTAGTCTGATGTTTTCAAATCCATGTGGGGGGTTATTTGATACTTCAGTTACCTTGTGGTTGATTCATGCTTGAGCAAACGGTGGTTTAGCATAATAGATGAGCTGGGGTTTTCTTTGAGTTCACGCAGGAGGAATCATGTTCTCTGAGCGTAGGATCTGTTCCTTGCTTCCCCACAGAGAATGCGTTCTAGGTTGTGGGGATTGAGTCAAGTGAGCGGGGCAGGGCCCATCGTCTTATTAATGGGGAAGTTGCCTGGGATTTGCGTTGTTTCTTCACACCGGTTGTTGAGAGAGGCCTGGCAGGTGAGCATGGATGGCACATTTGCTGTTTACACAATTGCATTTCTGTTAGGCTTACACACCCAGCAGAGAAGCCATGACAACGTTGATCCACCGAGGGAAACGCGTGGAAGTCGGGAGGCATGCAGAAAAGCGGCTGGAGGCCGAAGAACACGCTGTGGTCAACCAGACTTTGGGCGAAGAGGATCCCGGAGACTCCAAGGACATCCGTCTTACTCTCATGGAAGAGATCTTGCTTTTGGGTCTGAAGGACAAAGAGGTAGGCTCAGACTGGATCCCTCGCATTGGGGAGTGGGTGGGTGGGATTCTTTCCTATTTACAGTTCTTGATCTGTGCCATCTTTTCCCCCCAGTAAGGATCCTGACAATGTACAGGAATTTAGATTTGGCTCGTAAGCAACAAAAGGTACTCAGAAATAAGCCCAACAGTGATACAATTTGATAACAACTCTGCACAACTAAAAACCAAGTTTCCTAAACAAGCCAGCAAGCATTAAGAAAGCCAGCTTTGCAACATGATATGTGAAAGGGGGCAAAGAAAAACCCAGTCAAGTCAGAAAATTGAAATCCAGCATCGGATTCCGCTTCCCCTTTGACTGAGGTCACCGAAGATTCAGTTGGGGGTTTTAACAGTGCTGGTATGAAGGGACGGACTTCATTATGACGGTTTGCATTTTAAACCGGCGGTAAACTGATCCCTCTGGCATTTGTTTTAACCAGCAAACCAGTTTGCCAAGGTTTTTTTTTTTTTTTTTGGCCAACACCAAGGCTCATAACTCTCTCCTAATTAGAAAAGTTTGACGGGACTTAAGGAGGGGTGTGGGAGAGTCCAAACTTCCCAAGAGCCTCCTTGGGCACTGCCAATCCAGCTATCCTTACTAATGTATTCATGGCTCGGTCACGTTAAGTCCTGAAATGTTTAATTTAATGCCATTGGCAGGCGAAGAGACACTTTCTTTTGGAGTCAGTTCTCAACAAACAGAACCCGATTTAATGAAAAACCAGGAAACAGCAGCCTCTGCCAGCTTGGCTCTCTCCCTTCAGGTGGAACAATAGGAAACTTGGTGCCCGTGTTTGTTTGTTTTTTTGCCAGCCAAGTACGTGTGCAGGAACTCGGATAACTTTGGGCATCGCAGATAAGAGTGGGGGGAAATGATTCTCCCGGAAGTTGCATTTGGAGGCCGTAACATAACAAACCAGCATTTAACCTTGGTTTGTTGCGTACATAACTCCTTGTCCACGTTTAAATTGTAGCATCCCAATTCCAGCTCCACCTGTTTTGTGACTTTTCGGGAGCTTCATTTCCTGCTCTTTCACGGGGACGCCGGTGACACATGACGCAGGTTCGCTCAGGGAGAAACTGGTGCTGGTTTTCCTTGATTGTCCCTACTAACAGTGTCCAGATGTAGCTCCCATCCTGGATTTCCTAATTTTGCACGCCTGGAAGCTGATCGTAATGAGACTGAATAGAAAAAAGACAATCGCTGCGGGATTGTAGAAGAATGCCCAACTTTTTTAACAGCAGGGGACACCAAATTGAACCACTAAGTAAAAGAATTGGTGGGATAAAAATTCCTTTTTACTGTATACTTTAAGGATTCCCAAGACTTGTAGCTGGGATTGGCTTCTCTTGCTTGTAAAAAGATGCGGGCAAAATCCTCTATTTGCGTCATTTGGACTGACAGAAGTCATAGAGGGCAAAGGGACCGTAAAAATTGTGTTTGGCTTGAAATGGAGCCAAAAGGAATTAAATCCCAATGTACTTCAAAGACAAGTTTGAATCGCTTTCGATCAGAATAGAGCTGGAAGGGACCTTGGAGGTCTTCTAATCCAACCCCTTGCTCAAGCAGGAGACCGCCATTGTTGCAATGAGGGTGAGGGAAAGGTCCCACTTCCTTTTCTTCTTATGATTTGCTATCAAACCATTTAGGAGAAAGAAGAGATGAGGGAAAGAAAAAAATAAGTACTTAAAACTGCCAAGGGATTTATAAGCATCATAAAACAATGAATTGAGGGCAGATTTTGAAAAGAGCACCAAGTTCTACCTATTCAAATGTGTCATTTGAAAACCACAGGTGGTTTTTAAAATCCCATTTTTCCTCCATTACTTTCAGGAACAGTGTTAATGATTTTATTGGATGGTGAGAAGGAAAGGAAAGTTGGTGTTTTATGACTATTTGCATATTTGAGAGATTTGGGGTTGATAGTAATCTGTGTGTGTGTGTTCTAGGCTTAACAGGAACTGTAAAACCTGTTTGTTTTTGGTGTCCACCTTTTAACTGTTCACTCAATGTTCTCTGCTACAGTTATTTCCGGTATAACCTCCCTATCTCTGCTGTCAAAGTTGGAAATATAATCTAAGGAAATATTAATTTAGCAGGGCCTTTTTCAAAAAAAAAGCAATTAATCACAGCTAGCATGCTTGGTTATTAGGCATAGGTTCAAAGTTTGTAGCCATTATCCTAACTGACTTATAATTATAATAATCTTAGAATCACCGGACAAAAGAAAAAAAAAACAGAACAAATTAGATATAATATGACTGATTCCCCTCCACACACCTGCAAGAATGCAGGTTGTAAAATACGACACCGAACTTCGGCGTATCTAAGTGACAAGGTTTAATATCTTGAATTTAAACTCTGCACTTACAGATACTGTCTTCCTACTCAATTTAATAATAGTTTTGCTGCTCTCTGTTTTCATACCTTTTTCTCAAGAACTGGTGTGGGGCCTTTTCTTCCCATTATTAAATTGACAACTAGGAGGGAGGACCCCTGGCTGACATTTGTGTGCCAGGATGTGTAACAATTGTGCGAAATGTGCTGGGGAATTAACCTGTGGGTAAAGGGATGCGGTGGCTCAGCGGCTAAGATGCTGAGCTTGTCGATCGGAAAGGTTGGCAGTTCGGCGGTTTGAATCCCCAGCGCCGCCTAATGGAGTGAGCTCCCGTTACTCGTCCCGGCTTCTAACCTAGCAGTTCGAAACCACGTAAAAAATGCAAGTAGAAAAATAGGAACCCCCTTTGGTGGGAAGGGAACAGCGTTCCGTGCTCCTTCGGTGTTGAGTCATGCTGGCCACATGACCACGGAGACGTCTTCGGACAGCGCTGGCTCTTCGGCTTTGAAACGGAGATGAGCAGTGCCCCCTAGAGTCGGGAACAAGTGCCACAGATGTGCGAGGGGAACCTTTACCTTTATATAAAGTCTGGCAGGACCAAGGTGGTTTGCAGTGAACCTGTGTGTGCAGTTTAGGAACTGTTGAGCTCCCTCCGCTGACGCCTGTTTTCCTCATCCTCTCAGGGCTACACATCTTTCTGGAATGACTGCATTTCTTCGGGGCTGCGAGGGGGCATCCTTATCGAGCTGGCCATGCGAGGGAGGGTACAGCTGGAGCCCCAGTCCATGAGGAAAAAGCGCCTGCTGGATCGGAAGGTAGGCGTCAACCCTGAATCTGCCTTAACTCTGGCCGTTCTCTTTTCTGTAGCTTTCTTTTCGCCTTGCTTCAGGGCTGACACAGCCTGGAGCGAAAGGGGCCCAGTAGAAATAGCCGAGGGTGTTTGTAGACAAAACAAGATTCTTCCCCCCTGGGAATCAAGGACGTTGGTGCAGGTGTTCAAAAGGTGGAGACTGAGGTCACATGGCAACCGGACCGTATGCTGATTGGACCATGTGACTGGGGACTCTGTGGGAGGAAGTGACAAAAGTTTCACTTTTAATTGGGTGTAAAACCAGGAACGTAGAGCCGGTTTTCCACCAGGTCTGTGCCAATTCGATATGTTCTTTGAGGAATGTGCCTGCCCTGGAGTTCTCATGGTTGGGGATGTTATTTACTTGCAACCTTGACCGTAGGATTTGCTGTCCCTGCTCGCCCGCGCTGTTAAGGGCCGCGGTGCCTTCGCCTCTTCAGCGCACAGACCCCCGTGTTCTTCTCCCGCTCAGGTCCTCCTCAAGTCGGACGCCCCAACTGGAGATGTGTTGCTTGACGAGACCCTCCGCCATCTCAAGGCCACCGAGCCGTCCGAGACGGTGCAGACTTGGATTGAGTTGCTCACCGGTAAGTGAGATTGGAGGGCTGCGTTGCGGGGCTGCTGTCCTCACTTCTCCAATCGCAACCGTTGCCCCCCTGCCAAATGCTTGCCTGGCACCTGCAGCGTGGAAACAGGTGACATCCTTCCCGGAGCCTGCCGGTTCCTGTGGATGGAGTCATACGTTGCCATGAGCCTGGATTTTGTGGTATCGGTTGAAATTGGCTCCATTGTGACTCTTGGTTTCAAGCCACCACAGTCCAAATTAAAACAAACAAACAGAAAATGTTGTTTGTTTATTTATTAATGTTTATTAATAGGACTTTTTATGCCGCCCGCTCCCTAGGGACGTTATACTTGATGTCTCAGTGCAATGTGTAGATTTGGATGGAAAGGAAATTAGTGAGTTGTTAAATTGTGGAAGAAGCCAGCGTTAGCTTGGTTCAGAGACACATTCAACTATAAACTCCAGAAATTGCAACGACCATCAACCCCAAAGAAAGAAATCAAATTAGTTTCTTCCAAGAGTTGGGGAATTCTGGCCACTGCCTCATTTTCACGAGCTTCGAGTCAGCTTTTAACTTCATCCAAACTTTTGGGTGTAACTTTACCCCAGAGGTAAATAGAGAATTGGTTTGTGGTGGATATAAACCCATATATTTTGGAGATCATCTTCAAAATCTAGGAGGGAAGAGAAGAGAGCGGGGGGGGAGGGAAACATTTCAGGCAGGGGTGAAATTCAGCAGGTTCTGACGGGTTCAGAGAACCGACAAATGCCACCTCCGCTTGGCCCCAGAGTGGGGAGGGAGTGGGGACTGTGCAGTATCCTTCCCCTGCTAAGAGCCGAGGTGGCGCAGTGGTTAGGGTGCAGTACTGCAGGCCACTTCAGCTGACTGTTATCTGCAGT